TACAATGAGTGATCTGTGTAACGGAGAATGAAAATCATATCTATATTTGGACGGTTTCTCCTGTTCCCTAACCCTAACTCTAAACAAGAACTTATCAACTTTAGAAAACTTAATTTAAAGTTGTTTTAAATTTAAAAGTAAAGTAAAAATCTTTATTTATTATATACAAGTATACATTATTCCCCCAAAGTATTTTATTATTTGTCTGATAAAGTTTTCTTCTGTATACCAAAGCCTGCGATGATTGCATTTTTTTTTCATGATCGGCAGTAATCGTAATTGTAAACAATTTTTTTTTTCGCATTTTCATGTACCAAAAATGATTACATTTGTATAATCACGCGATCTGCAAAATTTTTTATAAATACAAAGGTCCCTATGAAACTTCTTTTACAACTTTTTAAGTATCACATTATACTCGACCTTAAATCAAGCTTGTCTTCGCCAGTTCATGATTAGGGAAGTATAAATTTATAAAATGCTACTGTGGACTTCTAACAATATCCTACATCCGTTTGTGCACCACCGCTACTTTTGTTGCGACCCCTTTCGGCTGTGAATCATGGATAGCACCCATACATCCGTTTGTGCATCACCGCTACTTTTGTTGCAACCCCTTTCGGCTGTCATGGATAGCACCCACACATCCGTTTGTGCACAACCGCTACTTTTGTTGCGACCCCTTTCAGCTGTGAATCATAGATAGCTACTTTGGTAGTACGCTTAGCAATTTTATAGCACCCATACATCAGTTTGTGCACCACCGCTACTTTTGTTTTGACCCCTTTCGGCTGTCATAGATAGCACCCACACATCTGTTTGTGCACCACCGCTACTTTTGTTGCGACCCCTTTCGGCTGTTGGTTGGTAGCATGAATCTTGGATAGCTGCTTTTATGGCACGTTTTATGTCTTCTCATTGTCACCGACTCCATGAGGATTTGCTAACCAGTTGCTATAAGATCTAAGTCCACTTAACTATTTATATTTATATACTTTCGTTAAATTAATTATTATTTTACATTATTTATTGTGCACATTTATAGATCCCATAAAATGGATCTACTATATAAACAAGTTAATAACTACTTTAATGAAGTCAGGTTTACTGACTGGTGCATTACTGCATGCCTATACAGTATCAAGAATCCAACATTCACATCTGCAAGTATGGATGAAGTTGCAAATGTTATAAAAGAAGTAATAACAAATTATCGCAAATCAAATGCATTATTAGTAAATGCAAAAAGGAAATTGGAATGTCTTGAAGCTACTTTTGATGTTATTTGGAGAGGTCCTGAAGTTCGTCAGTACTTTGACAAATTGGACCTTTCTCATCTAAATGCAAGTACTAAAGCGATTTATTCCTTTGTGAAAGAAGGTTTGAATGTACTGACTTATAGCCGTCTAACAATAGGAAGTGCTAAGTAATGGTCATACACAAGGTCTTGGCAATGTAAGCTGTTTAAATGTGATTTTACCGTAACAGATTTAAATTATTAACTTTTTTTTTTTTTTGTTCTTGCAATCTGAAACAGTTATATTCCGAAAAACGTCAACTGCCTGAACCTGAAAATATTCGTGATAAAAAATCCAAAAGGAGCATCATGTCACAATCCAATAGTAGCACTGAAAATTATGAAGAGTCGTTGAATTATGAAGATAGTGAAGAATTGTACCATGAAGATAATGACGAGTTATTAGATGAAGATCGTGAAGATCTGTTGGGTTATGAAGTACAAGCATCTGAAGAAGAAATTTCAACAGAAGAGGTTAGTATCGTGATATTTTTTTCTACCAATTGTTATCTCTTTTGTGCTTATCTAATATCGTTCTTTATTTAACTTAGGTTATGACTGATCCTGCTACGGATTGGATTTTATCAACTGAGAAAAATGTTGGTGAAGTATTATCAGCATATCGAGCTGCAATTCCTCTTAATAAGGCGTATCTATAGTAAGTTATACTTTACAAAAATGGTTTATACAGTAGTATCAATTTCCTAATACTAACCGAGTTTTGCCTATAGTCCTGCCTATTTTAGGATTTTGGATCTTTTTGGAGAAGATGTTGAAATTAAGAATTTGTTTATGAATGATGAATGGAATGAGATGATTGAGGACTTCGAAAATAATGTTTATTAAATAATTTGGAAGATGAAATGGAGGTGCCTCTCTATGAGTTGATGAATAAAATAACAGAGGTAAAAATGCAAATTCGTATTACAACTCACTCTCATCATAGTGAAGTCGTCGAGTTGTAGTTAATAATTCTGTAATTCAAAATTTTTTATTAAATCGAAAATATTTGTAACTAAATATAGTATTTTTTATATTAGACACTAGAAAAGAAACCCTCCGATTTAATTACTGAAATCGAAAGTTGTGTAATTGAAGTATGTACGGTATATCACTTGTATTGATTTTTTATTAAAGTATAATTCTAATAAATATCATTAATAGAATAATATGAAAGTAAATACAATTCGACATCTTATTCAATTATAGTAGGTTCTTTTTTCTAATTAATGATATTAGTTTTTTTATAGCTATAAAATATAATGATTTTATGTTGACAGTGCCTATCATTTACAACGTTTACGTCTTCCGATGTCTGAAGCTGCATTTGGTAGCAATTTTACGAATATGATTACAAAAGGGATATTAACTTTCAATCCAATTTATCACTATGAAGAGTAAATCATCAACTATTTATTGTTTGTTATATATTTCTCAAACTTGTTCATTTGTTAATTATTCGCAATGCAGAGGAGAGATTCAGAGTCTCGCTTCATCAGTAATTACCAACATGAGAACAAAACCTACTGATAGAAGCTTAATTAGGCAAAAAGTAGACTTCAGAATCAGTAAATATCAATTCGAAATGCTAATTGGATTACGATCAGGTGGTCTTCCTTCGGCGCCAAAAAGTAGAAAATGGATTGACAAAGTGGATTTAGCAGTCACATTACGAGATGTGTTATTAAACGAAGGAATAGAGAATAATGGCGTAGCGCCGAATAAGTTTCATAATCTGTTTACTCTTGGAGTTCATACATTTAGTAAGTTTAATAATTATAATTTTCGGTATAGTACATTCTTATAATATAGCCTAATCTATTTGGTTTTAGACTATAATTATAATATTTACAGATTAGATTGGAAATCAAGAGGAATTTGGAGGTTAGGTCTACTTCAGAAAGTTAAATTGCCATCATCAATCGATGATCTGATAGTTATAGAAAAACTAGTTGCGTGTTGAGGTAAGATATCTATTATACTTGTGACTAAAATTGTTTCGGTCATCTATGGTTGGCTTTATGAGATTCTTAATTTTTTTTTCTTTTTTTATTTTGATAGAAAACCTTATCCTATATGCAAAAAATCTGGCACAAAATATTAACTGATAAGGCAAGATTATATAGAACACGACAATCGTCATCAAGTGCTATGAGTTATTCCATTTGTGAGCATGGGCGTATAGTTCGTACGAGAAAATCAAAGGAATAATCAATTTACATGTTTTTGCTATAACTTTGTTAGCTTTAAAACATTAATAAAATTGCTTAATTTGAACGAGTCGAGTTGACTCAAGTTGAAATACATAGTAGTTTAGAATAAAAAAAAAAAAAACTTTAATATAGGATAATACAAGATTTGTAAAAATTTATAACTTTTATTAGGTACTTCAATTCGTTGAAATTTTTTATGTAATATGATATATGTACTTTTGAATTACTCCATAAATCTCAAAAAAAAAAAATTTGAATAACAATTTAATAATTTTAATAAAAATTCGTAATATTTACATGTGCTGCAATTTTGAATGCATAAACCTTCTCAATATATAGAATGATAATGTTTTTAAGATTATTTTTCTTTAGTGATTTTCCACGAATTTCAAACAAAAAAATATTTAAAATTACAAAATAAATAATAAATAAATATATTATAAAAAAAAAATAAATAAAATACTTTG